GCCTTATTATGCACTCTTCTCGAGCAGCTTCTCCCATTCGGTTAATTAACTCCTGTTTAATTTGTACCAGTGTTCAGTAAGCGATTGGTTTAATGTGTCCTTGTGCTCTGTTTAACTTACATATGTGGAAGAAATGTAGCCCTTACAATGCTCTGAGTGCCATTGGAAGGGTCCAATACTAATTCCTTTGTGCCTGGAACCGGAACATCTATTGTAGTCCACTATCTTCCTGGAGCCAATCTTCAATATCTCTAGCCCTTTGTTGGCATGAGTTCTTAAGTCTTCTGCTATGTTTCTGTGGCCTTTCCCCAGAGCTATTCGCATATTCGCAAATTCGTGAAAGGAGCTTCAAAGTAAGTTGCAGTTTGACAAATTATTGTAATTATTGACAAAGGCTATTCATCTGTAACTATCTGTTAATGTTGTTTTTTTATAAAAAAAAATTCAGAAGAAAACTTTAAGATTTGAAGCAAATATCGTAATTTTTCGTTTTGAATGAAGAAGTATTCCAATATGCTACCAATTTAACATGGAACAATTTCAAAATAATTCGGTGTTATAATTATGATCAAAGCAAACAAAGTCAAATACGGGATCGGGCAAGATAAACACGTAAACAGAACATAAGATGCAAAATATCCTAATTCGTGAAAAATTGTATTAATTTTGGGGTCAAAACTAGCAAAGTAACGAAAACCAGGCGAGGATCAATTCTCGCTTCTCTTCTAAACATGTCAAGTTCTACTTTATGTTTATTTCTGTTTGCGTTTCAATTGTAAACTTTGAATTCAATTTGCGGGAAATAATACAACGTAAAAATATACCCAAAATCAGTGTACCTTCAATTTGTACAAACCGAATAATCATTAAAGTTACATGGGCATGAGCCGAACAGATAAACCTTGAGAGGTTTATAAATATAAGACATTTTTGCATTATCCAAAAAATAATAAGGCTATGTAGCGTATATTATTATTGAAGCAAAATTATCATCAATAAATGTGATTTATTAGAAATGTATGTGAAGAATTTAAAAAATAATATGTAAATAGACATTATTCTTGTAATTATTCAACAACTATGTGCAAAGGCAAGAAAGTGCTCGGGCGACTCTGCTTCGCAACTCCAATTTTTCTCAAAAATTTTTAACAGAAACTTTGTGGATACTATAAACCATTTACAAAGCGTCTTTGCATGTCGACGATAAATATGCTGTACGAGTCGCTTTTCTGTCATTTGTTGTGTGACAATTGCAACTAGTCGTAAAGTCTGAAATGAGTTTCAGCATGGTCATAATAAGCCATCAGCCCGTTAGTTTGGGCAATTAAAATTGAATTACGGGCCCTTGATAATTATAAAGTGTGTAAATCAGTCCCGACAGCCCAAATTGTTGCCTTTCCGAGGCACATACGCCCTCGCGTTTTATGATCCCGGACATGTTGGTGAATTGTGACTGCAAACCATTTCCGAGGC